GTCCCCGCGCCCACACCTGCAGCTTTGGTGCCGCTGTCTGGTTCGTCGTAGGGGGCTTCCCGGAGCCGGTATATAGCTCACCGCTTCCGGAAAGGCCTCTCCAAGGTGCGATTGGATCATGTGAGCGTTTCGGCTGACATGGGGTCGTTATGGGGCGCGGGGGCAAAGAGGAGGAGGTCGCCACCTTGAAGGCGGAGCTGGCGAGGCAGGAGGCGGAGAGGAAGGTGCTGGAGAACGAGCTGGAGGAAACTGAAAAAGCTATCGTTGTTGAGCATAAGCGCGGTTTCCTCAAGGCAGCTCGCCAGGCAAGGCTTCTCGCCCCGGGGTTCGACTTATCTACCATGCACGCGGAGAAGGTAGTCTTCTTTGGGAAGTTGGTGAAGGAGGACGACCTCGAGGGTAGCTCAAGTGAAAACGCCTCTGCGTAGGGCGGTTAATGTTTTTGTGTTTTATTTTTCTTTTGTTTTGTTGAATTCATGTAGTGAACTCTGTAAACATGGCTTTGTATATACGTATTTTCTTTGTTTGCTTACGCTTGCTCTTGATTTTTGTTGTTTGCGCATTTTGAGGCACACGTTTGATGTCTGTTGTATGTTTTTGTATGCGGTGATGCCTTCGCCTTGTGTTGACCAAGTCAAGGTTCGAACTCGCTCTTGGTTTTTCGTTAAGTGAGTGTTTCCGTGAAGGTTCGAGTTCGACCTTAATTTGTTAGCGCCGAGTGTTCAAAGTCGACCTCAAATTGATGTAGAGTGAATTGCGCTAAGGGTCGTACTCGACCTCATAATTTTAACGAGGTTCGGACTCGACTTCGGATGAGCGTAATAGAGTTAAGTGAACTTTCATCAGGTTCGAATTCGACCTCGGATGAAAGTGTTAAGGTTCGTACTCGACCTCATAGTTTTGGTGAGGTTTGGACTCGACCTCGGATGAGCGTAATAGAGTTAAGTGAATTTTCATGAGGTTCGAATTCGACCTCGGATGAAAGTGTTAAGGTTCGTACTCGACCTCATAGTTTTGGCGAGGTTCAGACTCGACCTCGGATGAACGTAATAGAGTTAAGTGAACTTTCATGAGGTTCGAATTCGACCTCGGATGAAAGTGTTAAGGTTCGTACTCGACCTCATAGTTTTGGCGAGGTTCGGACTCGACCTCGGATGAGCGTAATAGAGTTAAGTGAATTTTCATGAGGTTCGAATTCGACCTCGGATGAAAGTGTTAAGGTTCGTACTCGACCTCATAGTTTTGGCGAGGTTCGGACTCGACCTCGGATGA